TGTCATAATTGAATGAGTTTATTTGCAGTGCTCATGAACGCGAATCATACAGTCTCGATTTACAAGGTCCTTTGTAGAGGAAAATCCATTAATGAGGTCTGAGCTCCAATCGCACGTGAAGAGGAACACATTTTTCTCCACCCCTCGCTCTCGCACAGATTCCTCTCAGCAGGATAACTTCTCCACAGAAGAGAGGGACAGGTGAATAATCGTAGAGGAACACAAGCGGCAGAGTTGCAGACTCGAGAAGGTTTCAATAACATGGTTAATTCAACACTCAGACGCAGACTAAAGGATCTCTCCCAGTATAAGTAGTGGCAGGTTTACCAGCACATGACAAACAGGTGAGCTTGATTGTGTCAGGTGTCCCCGAGTGGAAGGTGGGAATTCTGAAAGGATCAACCCTTGCAAGACAAAGCATGGTTAGGCACACACGCACAAACACATCCACACACTCATAGTGATAAAGAAGGAGAGAGAGAATGGCAGCGATGCACGGGAGGTCCATGACAGCCTTGGCTGTTATAATGGGTAGACGCCTGACCTGATGGATACAGACTCTTTGCTCACTCACGCAGAAATGCACTGATTTACTGACTTTTCTGTCTTTGTCTTTTGTCAGTCAACACCTAATACACTTGTGTGGACTTCCTCTTCTGTATCAAGCTAGAGCTGCTTGCCACTTGTGGTAGTTTATGTGTAATAACCAGAAATGAGAAATATGTAACCAAGACATGAGATGGTTTTGGTGGAAAGTTTATAGTAAGCAATTGCATTTATAGTCCGTGGATCGTGACCTATTTCAGTGGTTCAAATGCACGGCTTTTCCTTTGTTGCATCGGTCTTCGGTATAAAATAAGCCCCTTTGACCTAAAACCTTCGTATAACCTCAAAGCAACCCACGTGTAGCGCCCACATTCAGCAAGAGCACGAAGGTCTTCGGTGAAATACCTGATCCTCTTCAAACACTTATCCCCATATGCTTCTAAATGTCACACACTGTATTAGTTATTTTTAGGTATCTTACATTTTAAGTGCATGTTGAGATTCACAAAGAGGAACAACACCTTAAAAACATTGTGCTAACATGTGTCTTTTTAAAGTTCTTTCAAAAAATACCCAAATATAAGCTCATGTACACATTTAAAGTTCCTGTATTTTACTGCAGTTTAGTCCATTATAATTCAGAAGGAAATGCTTTTTTTGCTGGGTTTTCGCTGTGGAGGTTTCGTTGTGGTTTTTTAAACCACACTTTTTATTGTGACAGCGTAAATTACTTTCTACTTTGCAAATTTTTCTCTGTGTTTACAGTTAACATGATATGATGTTTTCTTAAAGGTTAAACAGTCCCACCATGAAGACAAGTGAGTTGGAATAATTGTAGATGATCGTTTAGTTTCTAGAATGTCAGCTGACACGTGCTCTTACATTTTTATACAACCTGTTGCACACATATTGGTTATCGTGTTGTGGGTCATGTTGTTTTCTGTGTGAGCTTTGCCGCCAGCAGCCAGCGACTCTTTTGGTTTGCTGGTGTAAACAATGCAGTATCAGCGCGCGTGTAAGAGAAAATCTTTATAAATGCATTTTGTGTTGTGCTGTTTGAATGATGTATCATTCCTCCTTTACTCTTAATTCTCTATTTAACAGGTATTACAGTCACAATTTGAATTCTACTGGAAGGATTGTACAGCACACATTTTTGTTAACTTTAAAAAACAAGACTTGGGTTCCCCAGTTTGAAATTATTTTGGATTTTTTCTAATCAATGCAGGATCAAAAATACGGCCTTTGCATCAGTCTTGTTGTAAGCTGCAGCTTAACCAGACATTTTTGGTCACCTTTAACGAGCTTCGGGCATTCTGGCTGGAAATTTCTTGGCACTGACTCGGCCACAAATTTTTTGATTACTATCAAAAGTGTAGGCCATTGGTGTCCAACTCCAGGCCTCAAGGGCTGGTGTCCTGCAGGTTTTAGATACTACCCTGGGTCAACACATCAGAATCAAATGATTAGTTCATTACCAGGCCTCTGGAGAACTTCAAGACATGTTGAGGAGGTAATTTAGCCATTTAAATCTACCGTGTTGGATCAAGGACACATCTGAAACCTGCAGGACACCGGCTCTTGAGGCCTGGAGTTGGACACCCCTGGTGTAGGCTACCAAAACATTTAATAGGCGTGCATCTATACTTTTGTTCCCGTGTGGGTTACAATACCGGCATTCATTTTATATTTAATCCCCTAGTTGTGCCATATTTTGAATTTCTACGGTGTAAACCTTTTTGTATTTTCTGTTTAATCGGCTGCTATAAGACAGTTATTTCTTCTTCTTCTTTTTTTTGGCTGCACATAGAAAACACATATGTTCCATAGCCCAGGATGACATCATTGATGTGGAAAAAGCATAACATTTTATGGACACTGGTCTATCAAATCTCCACCAATGAAAACTCTTTCCTTGCTTGAAAGCAAGGCTCATTCAGAAAATCTACCTGTAGCAGATATGAAATAACAGTTAATTACACAATGGTAAGAAAAATCTGTCACAACACAGGAAAAGATAGGCCTGAAGCAAACCCACTCACACAGACAGAGTGGGTTTGCTAGTTTCAGTTTAGTTTTTATTATCTTTTGTATTTATGATGATACAATGATAAAGAATAGAATAAATATTAGAGATCTAGAGTGATTGTAGTGATCTCAGTCTCAAAAGCACATTTGACCGTGTCCACAGAGTGTCCTGTGGGAGTTGCTCTGGGAGTATGGGCATCTAAGAGCCGATCAGTCCTTATACTTCTATTGCAAGACCTTGGTCTGCATAGCCGGCAAATAAGTTTGCTGGTGGGTGTTGGACTCCATCAGGGCTGATTCTGATCATAAATTTTATGGACAGAATTTATAGCAGTAGTCAAGTGGCAAAAGGCTTCCACTTTGTTCTCAGAATCTCGTATCTGCTTTTTGCAGATGATGTGGTTCATCAGCACCTCCAAGTCTGAGGTCATAGTCATCAGCCAGAAAAGGGTGGAATTACCACTCTGGGTTGGGGGTGAGTTACTGATGAGTTACTAATGATTAGTTACATCCTTTTACTTGATCAATGTACATTTTATTTTGCAACAATCCAAAACAGTGAAAAATACAATGTCAAGTCCAGAATATTCTTCAGTAAAACCTCAAAGGTACTGAATGCTCAAAAATATGCTGAAAGGAAACTTAAGCACATACTCCCACACAATGTAACTGTTTAATTTAACATTAAACACAGTTAAGGCTCACAAATCACATTCCCATCTAAGTGGGAATAAATAAAATACATATGCAACAGTGGGAAGTGTAATAGTTTATACTTCCAGTGTCTTTGAATGAAACAGTTCGGCTATACTTCTGTTTGCTCTCCAGTTGTATTTAGCAGAGGCTGAGCAACCCAAGCGTGTTCCTTCTTCTTTTTCCTAACAAAAGATAAAGATGGAAACACCACAAAGGAGAAACAAAGATGTTCTTTTTATGAACAAATACGCGAAACACTGATACATCTTACACCACATTGTTTGTTTTATTAAAACAGACACTAATGTGTCCTTGTATTTGAATACAAATACCATATATAAAATATCACACTTGGGTAATAAAATAGTGACAGGTTTATAATTGAATTTTTGTCTCAGCCTTTTGGATTATGACCAGTAAAAATCAATGGTTGTAGCTATGTTTAAACCAGTGACATTTCCCTAATTTAATAATGACGCTTTTGTGATGTCAATGCTGAGAGTCACAAAAAGGAGCAACGCCTTATAAAATTTCCCACATTGCACTGCTGCCTCTACAGGAGTCTTTGTCCGGTCAGGGTGTGTTAATGCAACAATTAACATGTATGATGCAATGTTTTTCTTTTAAATTGCCCATAATTATAATTCCTTGCTTCCTACTGAGCTGGTTTGAAATCAATTCCTCCCAAAAGTTACACGTTTTTACACAGTTAATAAGTAATCACACTACCTTTTTGTGACAGGTGTGTGTATGTGCATAAACACTGTAAGACTGGAAAAGTGTTAAATAAAAGTTGTTCCATAAATTTCCATAATCAAAACAAATGTTTCCAAACACTGCCGTTGTGTGGATCCATGTGGATTCATACGCCCCTCCTACTTGTGCCTCTGCTGGGACTTTTTGTGATGATGTCACATGTCTTGATGCGTTTAGAGCTGAGGTATAAATGAGGCTGCTGAGATTAACAGTTTTACCAGCACAACCTCTCTGACTCCACCTGAAAAGGTGAGACAGTTTCATCATCAGAGTCACTGCTGCCAACACAAACGAAGAAGACATGCTGCCAATCCGAGCTGTGGTGGTGATCACACTTACTGTTTGTCTGACTGCAAACACATCAGCAGGTTCGTATTTGTTGCTTTCTTGCCTTTCTATGATTTGTTTCTTGTTTAGTCACAAATTGTCTTTCCTTCTTTCACAGCTTATCCTGACTGCTGTCGAAGGTACATGAGAGGCAGATTACCATATTCAGCCATCGAGGGGTACTCAGTCCAGACTGATACAGAGATGTGTCCCATCAGTGCCATCATGTGAGCATCATTACAATTACTTTAACAAACTGCTTTAAAGAAACTAGTGTTTACTGTGGGTGTGCAAATATCAACATATTGCTTTATTTTAATGTAGTTTCCACACAAAGAAGGGGAAAGCATGTGCCAATCCAGCTCTGAAGTGGGTGATTGATGCTATTGATCGCATAAGGTGAGATCTTTAGAAACAGAATAAAGAGCAAATGTTTTGATTTTCTAATAAACAGCAAGAGAAGTAACTCCATCTATCATCATTTTAGGAAAAAAGCGCAGAAGATCCACCAGCGCAGCTCACAGCTGCAGATGTAGAAGATCATTGGAGCTTTTTAAAGAGACCACTGATGCCAGCTACAGAAAACCAAGTTTTTTATGAGATCTTTGCATCCAGCAACTGTTTTATAGTCCAGTGAACTCCATCATGTGGAGCCTGCTGTAAATAAGAAAGATGTTGTCAAACAATGGACATATTAGCTCAGTTTTAAGAGGTCTATAATATTAATTTATACTTTATAATTGTAATATTTTGGTTTTGTGCATGTACTGTTGTGTTAAATAAGAGTAATTTATGCAATTGTTTTTGTGGTTTTATACATACATTGAAATAAAATGAGTACCTCTTGTGGGTCTAAAACTATTAGCACGTATGCGCTGTTGAATTTTTTCACACTAAACACGTGACACTGCATTCCTCCTTTAATCTTTCCAGAGTTCCAGCTCTAGACATTTGTGTCATAACATGAAACCTAGAAAACAGCTAAACAATAACTGACGAAACTTCTCAAAGGAGGAAGTTGTGGGAGCTGCTTATGTAAAGCATGTAGTAGAGCAGGTATTTCATCAGCTATGATGAAGTGGAAGGCTTAGAAGGCTTAAATAAGAGCTGCAAAATGCATAACTGCCTGTTTTCTGTCCACTTTAGTGTTAATAGGTCAAGGTCAAGGTCAAATTTATTTATATAGCACATTTCAAACAGCCGATGCTGCACAAAGTGCTTAACAATATAAGCCATTCAACTTTACCCCATTCAACTTTAAACTTGAAGTAATGTGATGATTAACTGGTGTGATAATCCGCCTCAGTTTGTCTTTGTCAGTCACATGATTCTGGAGTGAAGCCAAGGAAGTCTAGCCAGGTAGCAGGTGGCAGTTGAGCTGATGGTAACAGACTCTTTGCTCACTCATTCAAGAATGCACTGATTTATTGACTGTCAATTTTCTACAATTAAAAACCATAAAAAAAACTTGTCTGTACTTTCGAACAGAAAATGTTAAAATATTCACATGACCTTGACAACAACACCTGATTAATGGCAGATAACCAACAAGGAAGTTGCTGAGACATTTCCACAGTCCTACCTGCGGGCAAAGACAGGTGAAATTTTCCGGCGGCCCTGCCAGAACCACAGAGCTGCCAGAGAACAGGGAGGAGTCTACAATAGGGGAAGTCCAGGTCCTCAGACAGAGCTGCACCTACACACTCTGCTTGGATGGTTCAGCTTCCTGTGACCATCTTTGCTGCATTCCTGTACATTTCACTTTTGCATTATATTTAAAAACACAGACTAGCTACATTATGTACTCATGAAACTTGGAGAAAGGAAAGCTGCTGCAGCTGTGTGCCGAGGGAGCTCGGTTTCAATTTGGGCAAATTTCCTCCCTCAAGTACTTTAACATTGTTGCTTTACACTTTAATAATATTATTTAACATTGCACCACAAAATTATGTGAATAACATTCGTTTTTAGAAGGTAATCATGCTTCATCTGATATCCTGTTTGACTTTTTAACAATTACTCACTTAACACAACACAGTGACGTGGATATGATCAAGTGGGGCTGCTGGTACACTGAGGGGACACACTGCAGGGATTCTATGCATTATAAGTTCACTATTACACACACCCGGCTCAAAAATAAAGTAATGAAAAAACTGTGGCAGTGCAAACATTTTTCTAAAGATTTACTAGGTCAACTTTATGCACAAAATTAAAAGATTTGCTTTTCACTCTAAAAAAGAAAACATTGGTAAACCTTAAGATATATCAGAACAACATGATGCAATGCCCTTCTGAAAATTCTCAGCTTTTGACTTTAGTTGCTGACTTTAAAAAGAGCTCCTCTTTTAGTCAAGTACCTGAACTTTCTTGTTCATCTAATTCCAATATTCCTGGAATATGGTTGAAAATAAACTTGTAGCTTCAGTGGTATGTATTCCCCCATTCTCAGAGGCTTGGCTTGTATTGCTCCCAGCTGGCGACCTGGGACTTTTCATCTGTTTGGCTGCTGTACTAACCACTGCACCGTGGCAACACATGGAGCCTTCCTTTACAAACATTTAGCTGATAAAACTACATTTATTTAATGTAGAATAAATAAAATGAAGAGGACACAGCCGAAGGTTAGCTGAAACACTTTCTTCTGAATAGGTAAACCACACTAGTTTGGTTAAAGCCATAATCTTTGCAGGTAAAAAGTGAACTGGAAATACATCCCAATCATTCTATGAATGAATTATCACATGCTTGGCTGGCTGGATTGTTAGCAGTTTGGTTTGATGATGGGTTGGATGGTTGGAGGGTCAGTATTACTTTTACTATTAAGAAACTGTGTCCTTTAGTCTCATTTACTTATCAGAATTTTGTCTTTGCTGATGTAAAACTCAGTAGTTTAGTGTTATTCTTAAAAATGCAACTAAAAAGTTTTCAGCAAGACTAAAAATGAAATCAGATATATTGAGTTTAATATAGTTTGTTACTTTTAAGTCAAAAACTTTAAATTAGTGTATATTTACCCAGGCATACTTGAGCTTTTCATAAGCTTGTCTTTTATTGAGTACTTTACATCAGGTGCTGTATGGCTTGTTGCTGCTGGATCTGCGGTCATTTTCCTGGAATAAGAAGGAAAATGTGATCTCGCCTACTTAATCTTTAAATAGTTTTGAAACAGACATTTAATCATACCTGGAATTTTTTCAAACTAATATTATCAGTGAAATAGTAAGCATCTGCACATATTTGGTCTATAAATATCACAACATTCCATGATCAATGCAATTTCAGAAGCCTGCAGATCCATGGATCCATGTGTATTTATAGGTCCCTCCCACACGTTCCACCTGTTTTGTTTTTATTTTTAACTTTCAATGCTGGGATTTTTCTAGTTCGCTAAGAGCTGAGGTATAAATGAGGCTGCTGTGATCAGCACATCACCAGCACAACCTCTCTGACTCCACCTGAAAAGGCGAGACAGTTTCATCATCAGAGTCACTGCTGCCAACACAAACGAAGAAGACATGCTGCCAATCCGAGCTGTGGTGGTGATCGCACTTACTGTTTGTCTGACTGCAAACACATCAGCAGGTTTGTATTTCTTTCCTTCTTGTTTTATTTTCTTTAATTTTTTTCTGTTTAATCACATTTACACATAAGCATTATTTTTTGTCCTCTGTTATATGAACAAATTGTCTTTCCTTCTTTCACAGCTTATCCTCACTGCTGTCGAGGGTACATTACAGGCAAATTACCATATTCAGCCATCAAGGGGTACTCAGTCCAGACTGACACAGAGATGTGTCCCATCAATGCCATCATGTGAGCATCATTACAATTACTTTAACAAACTGCTTTAAAGAAATTAGTGTTTATTGTGGGTGTATAAATATCAACCTATTGCTTTATTTTAATGTAGTTTCCACACAAAGAAGGGGAAAGCATGCGCCAATCCAGCTCTGAAGTGGGTGATTGACGCTATCAATCGTATAAGGTGAGATTTTTAGAAACAGAATAAAGAGCAAATGTTCTGATTTTCTAATAAACAGCAAGAGAAGTAACTCCATCTATCATCATTTTAGGAAAAAAGCGCAGAGGATCCACCAGCACAGCTCACAGCTGCAGATGTAGAAGATCATCTGAGGTTTTTAAACAGACCACTGACCCCAGCTACAGAAAACAAACTAAGAGCTTGTATAATATTTATTTATACTTTGTAAATATCTAGTGTTGTGGCAAAAAAGCGTAATTTATGAATATGATTTTGTGATTTTATACATACATTTAAATAAAATGAATCTAAACTATTACCCGTTATGTGCTGTTGAGTTTTTTTCACATTTAACACGTGGCGCTGCATTCCTCCTTTTATTTTGTTTCCTAGTTTGAAACAGTGAAAAATTCCAGCTTGGAAGTTCTGTGCTGCAATCTAATTGTTAAACAATAGCAGATGAAAGTCCTGTGACATCAGCAGGAGGAAGTCACAGGCTGTTTATTTAAAGCATGTATCAGAACGGGTATTTCTGTGCTCTGATAATGGTGTTTAGTTGCACTTTTTACTACAGGCTGGTAATAATGATGCAATAGTGGGGGTAATGAGGTGGAAGGAGCCCAGTAATAACACAAAAAGAGGACGTTATTACTAATTACTAAAGTAATATCAAGGTCATATCATGAATCACAATTGTTTGACAAAAACCAATATTAGACTAATTGGGTGATAAGAGGCCAGAAAATGGGAATAGTGGGAAATGTAGAAACAACATATGCCAATAAAACAATGCCAGTTAGTACAGCAGTATATCGAGGACAATATGATAAACTGCTAGCAATAAAATTGTAAGAACTGTGCATTTGAATTTTTATTTACTGACTTTAAAGTGGTTGTAACCTCATAACAATAAGGTAATATGGGTTAATGTTTTAACGTATTAGGATAGTATTACCATATTATGATGCTAATATGAATCTTACCTTACATCTGCAGCGGAAACATGCTGGCCTGTTACCTGGAAACATCTGCGATACTTTCTGAGCAGCTATACAACACTTTGATAATCAAATGTAGCTTTAGGCCACATCGGTACGCGAGTGAAAGTGATTTTTAGATGGCATGGATGCACAGCGGTCATGTGGCGAGTCCTTCATGTGCTGCTGTGCACTGCCACCCACTGCGGGTACTCTGCACTACACACCGTGGCTGTTCAGCAGTCTTATGCTCTTATGGTCACTTCACATTTTGCTTGATCATTATTTACAGTTTCATAATCGCTTTATTGGGAAATGTTTCTATATTATTATTCCAATTTTCTGGCTTTTTATCACCCAATTTATGGTTTCTTATGGCAGTTTGTTGTCTTTTCTGGTCATTTTGTGTATAATTGATTCAATTAATTTTATTTTTAAATCTCATTGTGGTCCCTGAATCTTTGGCTCCTTGATTTTTCTGTCTCTTTATTCCTTTAACTGTTTTGGCATTTTGTTTGTTGCCTTCTAGCTTTATACTTCTTTGTAATAGTTTTAAATGCGTATCTTTTTTTTC